TCTGCAACCAGGCGTAGGAGTTTTGATGATAGCCAGCTACCACTTGGAGAAATGTCAAGTTACGTTGACAGTCCAGCATCTCTCAGTGATGCTCTTAGTGAGGGACTTAACCCATCTTCTGACTGGTGTACTAGGGTTGGCACCTTTAATTATCTTCAGTCTCTGCTGCAGCAGGGTTCAAAAGGAATACAGGAAGTGCTTCAAAATTTTGAGAAGGTAATGAAGTTGTTTTTCCAGCACTTGGATGACCCACACCATAAAGTTGCACAGGCTGCACTTTCAACACTGGCTGATATAATTCCAACCTGCCGAAAGCCATTTGAGAGCTATATGGAAAGGATCTTACCCCATGTTTTCTCTCGGTTGATTGACCCAAAGGAGTTAGTTAGGCAACCCTGCTCGACAACTTTGGAAATTGTTGGTAAAACTTATAGTACCGATTCTCTCTTACCTGCTTTACTCCGTTCTTTGGATGAACAGCGGTCACCAAAGGCAAAGCTGGCTGTTATTGAGTTTGCTATAAATTCTTTTAACAAGCATGTAGTAAATTCTGAGGGCTTTAGTAATAATGGCATCCTAAAGTTATGGCTTGCTAAATTGACACCATTGGTTTATGATAAAAACACCAAGTTGAAGGAATCAGCCATTACATGCATCATATCTGTTTATTCACACTTTGAACCAGCAGCTGTCTTGAATTATATTCTTAGCCTATCAGTTGAAGAACAAAATTCCTTGAGGCGAGCTCTTAAACAATATACACCTCGCATTGAGGTGGACTTGATGAACTTCTTACAGAACAAGAAGGAACGTCAACGACCCAAGTCCTTGTATGACCCATCTGATGTGGTTGGAACATCTTCTGAGGAAGGGTATGTTAGTATGTCCAAAAAGAGTCAATTTTTTGGTAGATATTCAGCTGGTTCTCTTGATGACAAGAGTGGTATGAAGTGGAATATGAACCAGGAATCAACCCTGGTAACGAGGAGCATTGGTCAGGCTGCTGCTTCTGACGAAATTTGTGAGAATTTGTACCATAATTTTGATTCTGGTTCCTGCAATGATGTTATTAATGTGAAAACCAAAGATGTGCATTATTTGGAAAATTCCACTGATCCGAACCTTGGATCACGGACAAGTCTGGTGGAAAATGATGCTAATAGTGTTAATTTCGATGATTTGTCTTCCCTGCATTTGGTCAACGGTGAGATTGACAGCGACCACTTAAGAATTGCTGAAAATGCTGCATACAATGACGAGGCTTCACTAGAATTTGAATCTCACCAACACAAAACTAAAACTGTTAACTCCATGGCGGATACAGGCCCTAGCATTCCTCAAATTCTTCACCTGGTGACTGCTCTACGAATGGATTTGTTTTTACAAATTAATGTTTTTATCCATTAGTTATTTTATTTCACTTTAGCTTTAAGAATTTTATATCCTTGCATTAGGTGGTATGTGAGATGATAAGGATGATGGGTAAATGATATATGTTGTCCTCTTTCTGCAGATCAGTACTGGCAATAGCGAAAGCCCTTCTGCAAGCAAATGCAGTGCGCTTCAGCAGTTAATTGAAACTTCCATAAGTAATGATCCGTCCATTTGGTCCAAGGTATGGTCCAACTCTAGATCTATTGATAGTTCATATTTTCTCTTGAAGAACTTAAAACAATTGGTGGTGCCTTTTTATATATTTATTTAATAATAAGTATTAATATATATATATATATATATATATATATATTTATTTTTTTTCATTTTTTTTTGGGGGGGGGGGGGGA